GTGCTGTGCCAACCCTCCGCGACTTTCCCCAGACCCCTGCTACTCTCCAGGGCGTGGCAGTGTGTGTTTTTGAACGAAGAAAAAAAAATGAAACTCAATTATAACAATATGCTCAGATTTTCCCTTTGGCCGCACGGCGGAGCAGGGGTTTTTCAATTTGTTGTACGACTAGACGGACTACCTCTACCTCTACCTGCTACCTGAAGCAGACAATCAACCGGATCATCATCGCCTCAAACATCGAATGATGAAGGTTCCCAAGTCCAAGTCCAGCTCCAAGTCAAAGCCATAAACTATGCCAATAACCATAACTATGAACTAATAAGGTCGGATTGGGGTTGGGGTTCGGAATGGGGATGGGAATGGGGATGGGAATGGGGATGGGGATGTCGATGGATGAGAAGACTTTAACACAATATCAAAACAAAGAAAGTGGAGCAAACGGCGGTTCGGAATAGGAATCAGAATCTCTGAAGAAACCCATGAAATGCTGCTAATCATCGCACAATGAAATAAATTACAAACATTGTTTGTGGATATCCATCCAGTCCGAGTCCCAGTCCCAGTCCCAGTCCCAGTCCGATGGCTGACCCCTGAGCTATGGAATGCCTGCTGTGAAAATTGAAAAGCGTTCGAAAGGCAAATAGAAAACGAATCTCTTAAAGGGGCAAGGCGCAAAGATTAACACCGTCAAGCCGTCAAGAGTCGCCTCGGCACAGCCTCAGCCCAGTCATGTTGCACGTTCCCCGAGAGAGCATTTATACCAGAGTGTGAATAAATTAAGGCATCAAAATTCATAATACAAACGATCGGTCCACGATAAACACTTTGATTAGCGCTCACCGCTCGAACCATCGACTCCCGCTGCGAAATTGAAATGGAAGCAACTGCAGAGGCGCAGGAAGAGGCAGAGGCAGAGGCAGAGGCAGAGGCAACTCTCGGATCCCCATATCTTGAGAGAGCGGCAAACACCAAAATGCCCATAATTATGACAATCATCTCTGGGATTGAGTTGCGGACCATCGAGCTGTAGCTGAAGCTGGTTTGTGTGTGCCTTTGACTGCCTGAGTGCCTGCCTGCTTGGGCTGCTTTATGATGGAGCGTTAATCCCCATTGTTGGGGCCATTGTGGGGCCTCTCTTGTTGTTGGCTTAAGAATCTGTTACAGAAAACTTAAAAGCGTCGCTTTAATAACTTTATTGATTTCGATTAAGCGCTATAACGTAGGGTGATCATCATCATCATCATCATCATCATCATCATCATCATCATCAGCATGGGCAGTGGCATCGGCAGCATCGGCATTTCTTTGGATCTGGTTTTGGGTATTTCGGTTCTTGGGAAAGCAAGAAACATTTGAGTTTAAGTAGAGATAGAGGATAGGTTTAGATAGATAGAGATTAGGTTTAAGTTCGAGGAACTCTCTCCAGGAATCAATTCCATAGCTTATTCTTCTTTTTGCAATACAATGATATCTTGAAGAAGGCACTATATCAAAATACCAATCTCCATCTCCATAGATATGGGTCTACTATGATCTCCTTCTTCTCTTTTTCCTTTCCTTGAATAAAATATATCCTTTTTGAAAAAGTCTTTTTCTGATTGTTCCATTTTGAAGTATGGTATTATAGATATATTTTTTAGTCCTTACATTGCCACAACTATAGCCCCAATGTAAAATTATTTAAACTTTCATTCTTCCTTTAATTTTCTTGATTTTCTTTCTTTCCTTTATTGGCTTGGATAAATTCTGGTCCATGAAGGGCATTAGCCAGTTGCCAGTTGCTTTCAAAACGAAATGCCTCCCCGTCCAATAAACAATCACACAATGGACAATAAGCTTAACAAAAATATATTTTTCCAGCTCAATAAAAAACTCATTTACAACAAAAGCGCGACCAAAGAGAGAGGATTGGGCGGGCGGGAGGTAGTTCAGCATTATCTCTGGTCTCTTGGTAGGGTTTAAGGAGCTGGAAAGTTCAGATTTGAATGTCTGGCATTTGGATAGATACACTCGTAGGAGATGTGATCAAATAAACCTAATGGAAAAACGTGTGAAGAATAGTTAAGAGCGTCGTCCAATTTGATTTGCATCGAAAAGTAATTGAGCCACAAAAAACGAGGCAAAGAAAAAGAAATGGAAACGCTCCACGGGGGCACGAGTCCGAATCGGCTGTGGCTTTGCCGATGAAGATGTGGAAAATATTTCAAATCATGCACAATTATTAAAATCCATAAACGTAATAATCATATCAACAGGCCCGACCAGACGAGACGATCATCCAAATACAGAATAAAGAGAACACAGAGTACAGAACGGTATGGTGTGGAGTCATTAACAGCATGCCACAGACAACAACAATAACTGGGATGGGGGGGAGGAGGAGTGGAAGGGGGAACGAACAGCAAAGCGCGAACACTGAAAAATTAATAAGCAATAAAATTGCCATGAAATGAGCTACACCACAAAATTCCCATGAAAGCGGCCGCTATGCCTCTCCTTCTCTCCATCTCCATGGCCTCCCCCCACCCGCTGTGTGGAGCCAAAGGCAGGAGCTGCAGCATCGGAGTTCACTCTGGAGAGTCCGAAACGGTTAATCGGTGTTACCGTTCCCCACAAGATTGGAACCAAAAACAAAAAAAACAACCGAAAACCAAAGCCCAAGCCCGTAACCCGAAATCAAAGCAAAACTCAAACTGACCGAACAGAACCGGACCTGAAGCAGAAGCAGAAGCTGGGGCTGGACCTCAAAATTAATGCAAATTCAATTGACACTTCGCTGGCCTTCGACTTGCGACTGGTTTCCTGTCCACTCCTGGGACTCCTGGGACTCCTGGCACTCCTGCTCCAGACGATGCCCCCCATGGGGATGCTTCTCTGCTCATTGGTTTCTTTCTCATAATTCGCTGATAACTCGACCAGAGTCTGCCCGATTTGGGTCGGGAATGTTGCAAAATTGTTCCAATTTTATTTGATTGAAGTTTTCGATGATTTCCGGCCCAACATTGGGGCCGAGATGCAAGTTTCTTCTGCCTGAAGAATAGACCCTTCTACAAACATTGATCCGAATAAAGTCCACTGTTTTTCTCTACCAGTACAGAGTATGAGCTGCTTGATTTTTGGATGCTATAAAGATTTGTATTAAAAGGCAATACCTAGTATTTGTATTATTGGAACCATAGCCAATCCTTTGTCTATTATTCCTCTGAATTTGTTCAATTCTTTAAATTAATAATTGTGGATTGAAGATCCAACCAATTCCCATTCTATGAAATGTTCTTGTGCGGTATATCTCTTATAGTATTTCCCCAAAATAAAAGAGAATCAAGGGAATAATATTTCCTTTCAAGTGGTCTCCAAACCTTCTTATCTTCCAGTGCCGTCGGTCTGTAGATAATTTTCAGCATTTCTCTTTCAGTGAGTTTGATTCCAATGATTCAACTCGAAAAAAGCCGCTTATTCCCCTTTTTATTTGGATACTTTACTGCCTGGGAATTGTTTGATTTTGATGGTCAATTGGCAACTTTCGGGTGTGTTTAATGCATCATATAAAGATGGTTGTTAAGTGGACATTTCGCTTGATGCGGGAATGCATTATCAGAGCGATACCCTCCTGTTGAGTTTCTCCATTTTCCACACCATATCCATGGCTATTTCCACACCATTTCGCAAAGGAAAACGCTTTCAGTGTTTGCTCATTTAGGTATATGTGTATTTTTGATGCCATTTAAATTGCCGTTTATTGAATTTGCTTCCCCAATTCGGGTTTTTAGGTTTCGTTTCTGTTTTTTGCTGTGGTTGTTTTTGTTTTTGTTCTGTTTGTTTGTTTGTTGTCTTTTTTGAGTAAATTTCTGCGTGAATGGGGGGTTTGTGGGGGGGATTGTGGGAGATTTGCGCACAGTTTTATTTGTGTTAGAATCGTATTATTTTGTGGATAAGCTCGACACGAAATAAACCAAAAAATAATAAGCATAATGTTTCGTTTATGTGGGTTTTTCTTTACAGAGTTTTCGTTCTTTTATTTCTTGTTTGACAATAATTTTTTCGATACAGTATAATTTTTTTCATTTTCCGTTTCATTTGCATTTCTATTTGTGGTAGTTTTGTGTGTGTTTCTCATATTCTCATTTTTTTCTCATAGTTGAAATATATTTTATGTACTATTCCCCTTCTTTAGGATCATCTTTATATATTTATTAAAAAAAAAAACATCCTCTTACTTAAGTTTTGGGGGTATCTATCCGATTCTTTGTGGTTTTTTTGTTGTTCTCCTTCTTTCTTTCTTTTTTTTTAACTAAATTAAATTACATTTTTACACACACACACACTGGCACACGCTCGCACATTCATTCATTCCTACACTGGGAAAAAAAATTGTCCTTAGTTGATATCGTTTTTTTATTACATAAAAATATTACTCATATTTCAAGCATTGCTTCAAACAAAAAAAAAAAAAAAAATTAATAGTATAAGTTGTATATTTAATGTAAAAATAATAAATTCATTTACAACACTAATTTAGTCTCTCTTGGAACAGGGGGTTTTAGATTACAATACGCAAAGCAAATATATATGTATGTTTGTATGTATTTCTATTGTATAGTCGAATAAATAAAATCACTTAAGAATATTCAAGCTCTGAACCGAAGAGTAGTCAAAGGAAGGATAACTTTTAGCGGGGTTCCACTAGGACACGAAGGACATTAAATTCGCTGTTCAAATTTATCATTAGTTAATAGACAAAAATGGAACACTTTCGATTCGAATGATTCAAATATGTTTAGACGATAAACAAATATTTTAAAATATTTGAATACGATTTTTGATAAAAAAGTTGTATTTTTTTAAATGTGATAATATTTTTGTTGCCATTCACGTGTCAACGTGTAGTCTGCATAACGTGCTGGCGGAACCCATACTTTTAAAGAGGGAGGAGAGTTATAGAGAACTTATAGAACTTATAGACAAATAGAGATGAAAAACTGAGCAAAAACCTCTAGGAACGCATAAATCAATGGAGAAGCAAATGCGGTTCGGTTGAACTCCACCTCCTGTTCCGCTGCTTGGTTGCCTCACGTGTTGTTGAAGAGCAGCGACTCGATGCTGAAGGGATTGCTGCGCCGGATGCTGATGGGCGAGGTCTGGTGGACGAGGTTGGCCGCCGCCGCTACCGCTGCCGCCGTGGCCGAGGCGGCGGTGGCCGCCGCACTGTGATTGTGCCCATGCCCATGGCCGTGTCCGTGTCCGTGGCCACCGTGGTGCTGGGAGTTCTGCAGGTTGAGTTGATGGAAGGCCTTGGCGGGAAAGAGTAGCGATTTGGGCGATGCGCGCGACTCCTGCTCCCTCTCCCGATCCTCTGACTCGCCGCCGTCCATGGGCTCCATCTTGCCGAAGACGCCGCCGCCGTTCGAGAGCAGCGTGGAGGGGGCCACGGAGCTGGGGCTGCCCAAGCTACCGCCGCCGCCAATGAAGCTGCCCGCCCGAGAGCTGTCCCCGTCGCCGTCCAAGCCGCAGTGGCTCTGGCCGCCGTGCTGGGGGCCGTGGCGGGCCGGGCTGACGGCATCGCTGTCCAGCTCGTCGTCGCTGTCGGTGCCGCCGACGACATCGATCTGGATGCCATCGTCCTCGAGATCCGAGTCCGAGAAGGTGCCGTTCGCCTTGTGCTGTGATATGTATTCGGCCTTGAGGGCCTCCAGGTCGACGGTGATGCCCTTGGCCTGCAGCTTCCTCGCCTGCCTATCGATGGCCTTGGCCAGTTTCTTGCGGCGCCTGGCACTGGAAAGAGCAGGGAAAACGGAGGGGGCAGATGCTGTAGCTGAGGGAAAACTTTGGGGGCTGGGGTACAATGTGTATCGCTCTGGGGACACTTACCGCTCCTTGGCCTTGAGCTCGTTGGGCGGTATTGGCTCGCCGCTGCATGTCTGCGGCTGGGCATTGTGGGCGGGCCGGCCGGGACCCTTTTTGGTGTGCTCGCGCTTACGCACCTTGGCCCGTCGATTCTGGAACCATACCTATCTGGAACAAAGCGTATAATCTCAGCAAAGGTGCTCGGATACGGTGCGGATGTTCGGTCCTGTGGAACGAGACTCACCGCAACTCGCGACTCCTTGAGGTCCAGCCGCATGGCCAATGCCTCGCGCATGAAGATATCCGGATAGTGGCTGGCGGAGAAGGCCCGCTCCAGTTCCTCCAGCTGCCAGGAGTTGAAATTTGTGCGGGAGCGACGACGCTTGGCGGCGCTGCTGTCATCATCGCCGTCGCCAGGAAAGCCTAAAGACGAAAACCGGGACGAAAATAGGGAAAATAGAAAATGTAAATGAATTTTCAAGTCAGAATCAAGTCATTAATATATGTAACTACCACACAATGGAATGGAGAACAGAGGGGGTGTTGGCTTATTAAAACTAATTAGGGTTCTACCAAAAAACAAAAAAAAAAACAAAAAGGAGAAACCTAACAAAAACTAACCCCCGAACCCCACCACACATGGGACCTGGAAACCCTGAAAACCCACAAAAATTAATAGAGAAACAACACACAAAACGAAAAACACTTTGTTCTCGACACTAAAAACCCTATAATTAAGTGTTGGTAAAATTATTTAAATGAAGCCGGCCGCAAGACAGGAGCACAAACACACAGCGACGGAGCAGCGCCAAAATGCATAAATATTCATAATCATATATTTCAATTACAAGCCAATGGTCCCTCCCCTCCCCCCCCGCCCAGTCCCCCACCCCTTCCAACATCTTCCATTCCAGGGGGCTCTGCTCTAACCGACGCGTCGGCTTACAATAAAAACGAAACAATTTAATTACGTTTCCATTCTCCACTTCACTTCCCGCTCCCCAGTCGACAGTCGACAGTCCCATTCCCTGAACGATCCGATCCGGTCCAGGATGTATAGTTTTCTATATTTAGATTATACCCCCAGAGGGGGCGTGTCAAGCACACTCACACTCAGACTAAGGCACAGATACACACAGAGAGAGGATACACACAAAGAATGCATGCAAAAGACCCCGCAATTTATCAAATTAGCTCCGATCGGACCCAAAGTGAATCCGAAAAGGGAAAGGGGACAGGAGAGAGGAGAGAGGGCCAGAAAGGTGTTGGATATTAGATTATGGGACTGGGACTGGGACTGGACAGGACGAGGCATTCTCAGGGACACAGCAACGGTCATCAGGGCATGAACGCACAAAGCAGATTAAATGGGAATACATGTGAGTGGATAAACGAATGCAAAGTGAATGTTTTCGAATGATTTACTTTACGGAAAACTGGCTCTCATTCGATGCTCACATGTAAATTCAGTCAGGTGACATCTTTGACTGATTTTTCCATCAACAAATAAGAATTCAAATTACAGTGGAAAATCATGTGTTCCGTTCATTCGAATGCACTCCATCTGTCGTTTAAATGAAAGCTTCTGTCATTCTGCTCCATTCTGGTGTGCCATTCATTCAATAATTGAAAGCAATTCCATACATAATCAGTGAATCATAGTGCATTCACCTTAAATATTTGACGTAATCAAGTGTATAATGGCGTACATAATTCAGAACTTATTTAAATCGAAATCTGTTTGAGGAATACCATTATTATTGGATGGATTGGCGCTCGTTCATTAAAATAAAATCCCCAATATTCTAACTCGTCACGGAATGAGTGCAGCGACTCAGTCGACACAATGGAGCGCCATTTAAATGCCACAACACTTGCAACAATGTAATCACATCGATACCCATTGCCTGCTCCCCGTTCCTGCCTCTGCCTCTGGCCCAATTCCGACCCCAACCATCAATTGTGTAAGATGTGGACTACCTACATACGCACACAATCCACTCCAGCATTAAAGCGCAATAACAAGAGGACGGCCACTAATGAATGGTTTGCATTTTGCTGTTAAGTGTACCTAATTATGCGTGCGGCACTGTAACGCTGCCTCTCTGTTTCTCTCTCTCTCTCACTGACTGCTTTGACTCTGCCGCAGCCGCAAACTGCTGCCTCAGTCACTGCTTTGGCAGTCACTGCCGTTGCACTGCTTTCTGCATACACGGCACATATTTACCCGATTGTCCCCATTTTTGTGAAAATAACCGACGGCTTACCATTGTGTATAAGGAAATGTTCTTATACATATACGAAAAATGATATGAGGTTTTGGTATCCATTCACCAACCATTCACCAAAAAAAAATCCAAAGGGATTTATGTGTGAAATACTATGAATATAAAGGAAATATTCCAACAAAACAGTACATTTTGTGCAGCATCAGCATCAGACTTTCTATAGATATTTGTATCATTCGTTCCAACAAATAGCGAAATAGCGACGGTGGAAAACGTATCGTGTAACAGAAGCACTCTTTCGGGGGCTCTCTACGCTCTGTAGAGCGACAAAAAACTCGTTTGTTGTAAACGACGCGCCGACCCGCGGTCAGTCTTTGGACTATGACTGAATCGTATCTGTGTGAGTGTTCAAGCCAGTGCATCAGTGTATGTGTGTGTGTGTGTGTGTGTGTGTTAATAACTCAATAACAACGCCAAATACACAGAAATAATAGAGTCATTAAAGGCACAAGCGACAAACGGCAAACGACAAACAAAACGCAGGACGCAGGAAGGCCGCCCTTTCAGAGGGTGAGAGTTTGAGTCGGCATAGTTGGGCGGTTGCACGGAGATGCATACATAGATACGCACACATACACACAAAGTGCATTCAAATGACTTAATAATAACAGTCGCTGGACTACTCCGCCCCTTCTGCCGCACTCGCACTCGCACTCACACTCGCAATCGGAAGAGTCGCGCGGAGAGTGAGTGCTTGGAGTGCGCTTTGAGTGGCACGACAGTGCAACAGAGAGAACACATAATTCATGTGGTTTTTTTGAAAATGCAAAACGATAATTGAAATTTATTATGATTATTGCACCCACTGTGCAGCGTGTGCAATGTGCAGGCGTACCACCAACACCGCCACCACCACCACCACAGACGTACTGCAATTTGGCAACGCCGCTGCACTCGTATGGGTCCTGGCCCCAACCTCCACACAAAAAGCCGAAAAACGAACCAAAGAATCGAGCGGCAATATCACGGGGAACGGAACGGAACCGACTTGTGTGTGTGTTGCATGCCACAGTCACATTCCGTGGCATGTTATTTTCGTTTACAGCTCGCGTCATCCAGGCAATATAACAGTTACACACCCCCCACCTCACCCGCAAAGACCCCTAATGCCAGACCCAGACCCAACCCCCAACCCCCAACTCCAGACGACACCCCTACCCCACCCTCTACGATCCTCCGCAGGTGAGGAGCCACTTAAGTCATAAAAATTAAAGTGAATATATGTATGTATAAAAAAAGTTACACACGAAACAGGAAAAGAAGAGACGCAAAGAGAAGACGAGTAGAGGCAAAGAATGGTTTTATGGCTTTGAAGGAGTGTGGAGGATTAAGGGGGGAAACCCCTCGCCTAATTGCATTTGTCCAAAGGAGCAACAGAGGACTCGAAAGCCTAATGCATGCTTGATTCACTTCCATTGAATGATTCATTAGCAGATGGTGGGGAGACCATTGCCATGATCTCAACTCACGAATGGAATAAATTCCACTGAGCAACATCATTCAGCGTTAACGCGTGACTGTCATCATGGATATCATGCAGATGATATGATATCTATATATTGGAAAAGGATTTGCTTAACTTAAACATTCTCTTTCATTCACTCTTTCAGAATTTTCATTGAGAACATTGTACAGGGATTCACTTCTTATCAATCTTTCATACGCAGAATGCAGAAATTCCACTGAGTAGCATCAATCAAACACTGACTCGTGACTGTCAAAGTGCATATCATGCAGGATTTTATTTGAGAAAGCCTCACTCTATAAAGTATTGTCAAAGGAGTCACTTCTCTTGAGCACTCCTTGCTGCAAGCACAACTGTTGCACAGTATTCGTGATAATCATGGCCTGATCATATAGCCAGAATGAATACTTTGATGAATTATTCACAGCTTCACTTGCCCGAAAAAAAAAACGAAAACCCAATCACAAAGCGGAAATCCATTAGAAAAACTCCGAGGAAATAACGAGTTCTGGGAGACGGCGACGAAATCTATTCGAAGCCAGAAAAATGATTTATGATTCAGTTCATCGTTCCATTCCATCGTTCCATCAATGTGAAGTGATTTCCGTTTTTTTTTTTTTGTTTTTGGGCAAAACGGAAACACCCATCCACCCATTCACTCGCTTCCCCCCTCACATCTTCAATCCATTCGGAATTCATTAGGAGACAAGAAACAACAAAACGAGTGCAAAGAGTGAAGAGAAAAGGAAAAGAGAGCAAGCACAGAAAATGGCGGCGTCGAAGCAGAAAACTGAAAATCGCATGATAAATGATTCCGATCGCCTTATGACAGTTTCTTCATTTCCGGCATGAAATGAGCAAACGAAAAACGGCACAAGAAAACGTCAAGTGAGAGAGAGAGGGCGATGATGGTGTAGATGGGAATGGGAATGGGAGTGGGAGTGGGGATGACGATGATGATGTCCCGTACCACCACCCACACAACCCACACACCCATCTGCCATTCGGCTGCATGTCAACTCTATGCCGCAAAATGATTAATGAGCAAAAGGCCATTCCCCAATCCCCAGTCCCTCCTTTCTCCCACACACCGCACCAAGCAGCCAACGGGCGGCGCACAATCTGCAATCTGGCAATCGCGGGCCTAATCAAATTGAATCAAATCAAATTAATAATTAGTTTTTAAAGCGCTGAAGCGCCAAAGGAGTAGGAAGTCCCTCTGCCTCTCTCGCTCTCTCTCTCTCTCTCTCTGTCTCTGTGGAAGTGGGTGCCGCACTGTCCCTCTCTGGGCCTCTTCATGTGTTGGCTTCAATTAATTAAACGGCCTGGCGCACAGCTAATGTCGCAGAAGGCCCCAGATCCGAGATCTACCATCCTTCAGTGAGTGCAGTTAATTACAAGCAGCGAGGACTGCTTACCTCTGGCCACGCCCCTGGCAAACGCCCCACGAGAGTGGCCGCCGAGAGCCGAATGGCCGCGCGCACTGGATATATGCATTATGGCCATAATTACACCAACTAGCCATCATTTGTTAATGCTAATTGGTCAATGAGCCACAGCCAGAAGACGGCCAGACAGCCCGCTCTTCGTCTTGGACTCGGATCTGGAACTGGCTAATGGCTCTCCACTCAGAGAGCGCGCCACGGAGAACGATGATCAAAGCAAATGGAGTAATTGCAAAAGCAATTGTACAATAACAAGAAATATAAACCCCCCCCTTCCCCCACCACAAGAAAGAAAGAAAGAAAGTGGCGATGACCACAAAACAAGTTAAGCATAAATCATCTATGATCACAGAGAAGTAGAGGGAGAGAAAGAGGTCTCTAAGAAGAGAGTCCTCGGATGAAAGCCATTGCGGAATATGAAATGAATCCTCCAATTCTAGACTCGATTACATATACTTTTAGACACCTTTAGTGTTTAAAATGGTTCAAATATATGTAAATGAAACAATGATTGAATCGAGACATTTCTTTAACAGGAGTTTCCTGAATCTAAAAGCAATGGAGAAATGTCGCATAGTACTTTGAATTGATGATGGAAATACATTTTTATGTATAAATATATTGAAGGTGCAGAATGCATGGAATAAAACAATCAATATTCCAAGTTGCTCAGCGATTTCTGTGGGTAGAGTTGCATGGCAAATTATCAAATAAATATAAAGAAATAATTGGAGAATTCAGCTACATTTTGAAACATGAAGTAAAACCATTATACTCCTCGTTGAATAGAAAATTACAAAAAGACAGCTCCCTCCCTGTTCACAAATGGAAATAAACCTTCGATTCAGAATGAGAATATACACTTCGGGAAGATCTCAATAGAATAGGATGTCAATGAGGCTTGCAAACCTTGCAGAATATGCAATATTTTAAAGTTCCCAAAACACCACCACCCCACTTCATCAGTGGGGAGATTTTTCTAAACAAAATTGCGATTTCAATTCAATTTCAAAACGAAACACGTACTATCTTGAGCCAGACTTTTATGGAATGGAAAGCGATTTGGTAATATAGTTTCCAGAAATAGGAGCGATTGCGGAATATCTATTCCTATAGAGCTAATAAATCCTCTCTTGTAATCCGAAACCCACTGAAATGTCGAATCAGAGTCGAGTCTGCCTTGAATAGAGACACCTTTTTTTTTGTTTTGTGGAGCGATATATGCGAGTAAAACGCACAATAGTTTGATCATTTATGGGTAGGCATTGGGAACTCGAATCTCGAGATTTGAAACTCGATGCGACCTTTCCGCGGCGCACAGCAGGCGTCTCCGTCTCCCATCTCGTTCTCAGGGCATTCGTTAGACCAATCCACATACTTTGTATGCTAAATAAAAATCAGAAAATCAATCGGATTTTACATAATAATCGATCGCTGATTAGCTAAATCAATAAATATGTTTTTAGGTAGCAAAAGTCAAGCACAAAGCACACAACTCTGACTGATATTCAGAGCACACGGCCTCAGAGCGCACGGCTATAGACATGACTGACAGCCCGAAAGCATTTAGCAGGGCTAATTGAATGAATTAGCATATTGTCCGCACAGATAACGACACCAGGATGAATTCCAATCACACATTTAACAAACAATCTACGGGTAGCCTCTGACGAAATGGATCGATCAACGGCGCTGACCTCCAATCCTCTCTCTCTCCATGTCTTTATAATGTGGGGACGCGTGTTCTCGGGCTTGATAATTCATTAGCCGATCTCCCGATCTCTGAACAAAAATTCACAGGCAAACGAAAACTGGCGAAAGCCAAGCGAAAGTCTCCAATGGAAATTGATTTCATGGGGGAATACGGAATGCGAATTACCTAACACACGTGTTGCCGATTAGGGTTAAGCGCAGTGCCCGCGGGATTGCCGATCATCGATCAACGATACTTTGTACTTCAAGTACTCGAATATTAAGAAGTAGAGGACTAGGAATCGTCAAGGATACTTGACGTATGAACTTAATTCGTCGTACCAATTTCCCCTAAGCGATAGGGCTTTTGTGTTTTCTTCCAAAGAATATTCTACAAAAGTAATCGATGGGTTTAAAATAAGCGATAGATGGGAAAGGAAACACTGATGATTTTCCTGATGGTAAATCCATTAATAATGAAATATTTTGACCATCCAATCGAAAAGTAATCCCCCCATAAGTGAGAAATATTTCCGAACTCCTAGCTCCCTGCGCATGCAACTAAATCATTCGATTGAATCATATCCTGCCTTATTACTGAACCTTCTACCAAAATCAATAGACTTACCGCCATCCTCGTTGGATCCTTCGCTCGGTGGTCCCGCCGGCGGCAGACTCTGCCGATTGCCGATCATCAATCGGTGCTGGATAGTCGCCACAGTGCTGGCCACAGCGGCCACTGCCGTCGTCTGGGCGGCACTTACATTCCTTAGCGCCGCCGCACTTAGTCCGGTGAGATTGGCGAAGGCATTGCTGGCATTTACCGCCGCCATTTGTGTGGCCGCCGCGGCAGCTGCCGCTGTGGTGGGATGTCCTCCGCCGGCGGCATCGAAACGAGGCCGTCCAAGGAACGGTCCATTCGGGCCAAAGACGCCGGGCACTCCGAACTGCAGGAAGGGGCCCCAGGGCGGCACTCGAACGCCGCCGGGCGCCAATTGGGCGGCGGCCGCATACAGCTGAAGCGCGGCCGTCGGATGAAGTCCCTCCGATGGCATACTGACGCTGGGCCTGGGATGGGAATGGGAATGGGAATGGGATGTGGGTGGACTGCTGCCGCTCAACCGTTGCTGCTGCAGTTGCTGTTGCGGCGGCGTGGCTGATGGCAGATGATGATGGCCTGAATGGGCACTCGGATTGGGATACGGATGTGGGTACGGATTGGATGTGGTCCTTTGCCGGGATGATGGGGATACTTCCACTACTTCCGTCTCGTCCTCGTCCTGGCTGCTGCTATTGTTATTGTGACTGATGTTGTTGCTGTTGCTGTTGCTGTTACTGTTGATACTGTGATTGTTGTTGTTGTTGATGGAGTACTTTTTGGTGTCTGCTGCGGTGTGGGTGGCTGTGGCTGTGGGTGAAGATTGATTGTTTCGTTGCTCCAGTACCATTATGGCTCTCACGCTCAGAACTTTTGGGCCATTCGGGGGTGTCAACACTTATCTTCTCACAAAAACTAGAGGGGTGTTGGGGTTTCGGTCACTCGCGCTCAGTATCGATCACTAAAGGACTCTTTTTCGGGAGTTTTATTTTTTTCCGTTTTCAATTTCGTGCTTAAAAAAATATACAGTCTGTTTTTTCAGTGTGTGTTTTGGTTTTTTTGTTTTTTTGTTTTGTTTTTTTTTTATTATTCTTGTGTATGTTGTATGGCTCTGCCGTCGGCCGGCGGCGGTGCACTACTGAAGAAGACGCGTCGCTCCACACTGATTGAGGGTCTTGGCTCCACTCTCGAGCTTTGGGTACGGTCCGCCGTTCGATTGGATTCGATTCGATTCGCGTGCTGCAGGGGGGGTGCAGTTGGTGTTGCAGGGAGAGACAGACACCAGCAGCAGCAGCAGCAGACGACGCTAGCGGCTCGCAATGAAAATTCAATCTGCGAGCCGACGACGAGGCATGCGGCCAGGAAACCCTCAGAAACGAGATGGAGCGTGTGGCAAGAGCGAGAGAGCGAAGCCACCACCAACGCGGGCAGAGATTGTTGCCATGTTGTTGGTGCCTCTCTCTCTCTCTTACTCTCTATCTGTCTCTCTTTGAGCTCTCTCGTTGTGTGCGTGTGCGAGCGAGGTAGAAATTCATCAAAAAGCAACAACCACTTAATTTTTATATGCGCTGCGTTTCGACTGTTTCAATTTTGATCAACTTGCCACTGCTACTGCCTGGCTCTGGCTCTGCCACGGCATGCTGCCTACTGCCTGCTGCCTCTCTCTGCCACTGCCACTGCCTCTGCTTCTGCTGCTGCTGCTGCTGCTGCTTCTGTAATTCATTTAAAAGAGAAACCTGTCTGGCTGTGGCTGTGTGTGTGTGGCCATTTTCAACATGGTCTCTGGCTTCGTGTCGTGTGTGGCAGAGCGAGACAAACATCTCTCCGATGGCCGCTTCCATTGGCTTTCCACGAATAGTGGGAATTTTTCTGCCAGCGCCGCTGCCTGCCTGCTAGTCTGCTGCCTACTGCCTGCTGCGTCGCCATTGCCAAAAACGACTTCAAGAGTTTTCAATTTTCTTCAGGCTGTCTGTGTGTGTGTGAGTGTCTGTGCGGCAAAGTTTTCCAGGGCGGAGTTATGCGGCATTTTTTCAATTTGCTTCTCCATCAAATTATTATATGCTCGGCTCTCTGCTCTGGCGCTGCTCTGCCGCTGCGCAACTGGCATTCTGCGACTTTGGCCGCCCGCAAAACGCCTCCACCTCCAACAAACATAAATGGCCATTTTCCTGGCAAAATAGAAAATGAAAATTCGTTAACAATTAATTAACAATAAGCTGATTTGTTTTTCCTCTTATGACTGCCTGCTTTTTCTTCTTCCCAACTTTTTCACGCGCGTTTTCGTTCGCTCTCGCGCTTTACTAGCGTTTCTTGCGCGTTTTCTTTTCAATTACGTTTCCGCTCCTCTCCAAGGCATTCACTTTGCCATGCGTGCAAGCGGGATGGCCATACACACACGACGCCGACGCCAGCCAATTTGCCTTTAATTTGTTAACATAAACGCCTCGTCTTGCCGAAGGACGAAGGGGAGCAAAAGGAGCACGACAACTCCTCCAAGCAGAAGGAGCGGGAGAAACAGCTCCAACTTCCGAGGCTGCTGCTGTTGCTGCTGCTGCGCATGAATCATTCATTTTATTAGGCGCCTGGGCAGCGACGCCAGCTGAGGCATCGGCTCCGACTGAGGCAGCGCCAAACGATGCTCCACTTAACCCATTTGCCATGCAGCGGGGTCGGTTCCACCCACACCCACAATCAGACACTCCTCCTCGCTCGCAGGGCAATCAATGACATTGTGTTCTGTGGAGTCTGTGGAGCGGAATGACCTCTGCCCCGGCCCGCCCCCGCCGCCGACCTCTTCCTGCCCCAACGGGGAAAGTCCCGCGTCTCATCTGTCAGATGTTTTGTTGGCAGGTTGCTTAATTGCTCGCCAACTCGCCAACTCGCCCTTCGTTCTCTTTTGCTCACTCCCTCTCTCGTCCTTGTTTCTTCCTCTTTCTCCATACACCTCTCTCTCATTCTCTTTCTCTTGTCACATGTGCAACTTTGTCTCTTTCTCTCTCTCTCTCTCTCTCTCTCTCTGTCAGTCTGCATGTATTGGTGTTCATTTTATTAATGACATACAGCGCCAGTGGGCGAAAAACGACAGCCAGCCACCCATCGACCTGCCACATACACATCCCCCTCACACCTGTGGTAGCCAACCCCTCATTCCTTACCCCACCATCCTGCTCCCTGCCACTTTGTTAATAAAATTTCCATGCGTACCGAAACTTAATTAATTCTGTTACAGTTTGTTGCAAAAGTTTGCTCCCGCAGAAACCCCCTTAACAAAATGGCCGCCACCGTTGCCCCACCAAGGGTACGGTGGTGGCGAAAGCTCCATGTCCTTCGCGCATACAGCCCCGGCCCCAATCCCCATGCCCCTGCCACATTCTTTTGCAAATCAAACGAATGAATTTTAATTATTTTTTGTGCCAGCAAAAAGTTTTCACTCCTCTTTTTTTCTTGCCTCCAGGTAGCGGGAAAACTTTTTTAGAAAATCAACCGGAAATGGGATCGGGAAATGGGAAGAGAATGGGGAGAAGAGGGGCCACAGATGCGAGCTGAAAAAAAAGAATCAGAGAGAAAAATACCCAGAACTGCGGGGAATTGGGGAATATTTTTGAAGTTATGCTTGAGGTGCATCTAATCAGAATCTGTTCGAGTGAAGAGATGATGGCAACTGAAGCGGAACTGGCAGATTGTCAATACTCGCAGATGATGAACTCCGCAAAGAGGACCTCGAAGTTGAGTCAGAGATCCTTTAAAAGAAATCTCGAAAAATACAGAACACATTGCAGAGATTCTGTTTAAGGTACAATTAAAATAGATTAAAGAAGAAAGAAACATGCTTAGATTACTGTAGAACTAATTCAGGACTCTAGGATACTTATTATTACAAACTTCTTGAATATGCCATTAGATCTTTGATCGTAGAAACTAGTACTCTCGCTTCCTGATCACCATCTTCCTTGACTGGATATTCCTGTATATCTGTAGTTGATCATAAATATATAAGTTCTGACGATACCCACTGTAAATGGTAAATATTGTGTTATATAACGAACAATTTACAAACTGATCTCCGTACTTTCCGAATCTCTTCTCTCTGCCGAATCAGAATCTTCTCGATCCTAATATCCTTCATATCTTATAAAGATATTTAAGAACGATCATTGCCTAAGTGGAGATGATGGAAATAGAAATACAAATAGAATAAGGTACCCTATAAGAATATACATACATATGTATGTACATGAATATATGTATATATCCTCGAACCATTATTTTAGATCTTGGATGGTAGTGTCTCTAACTCTCTTCAGAATCGTAATATACTTAATCGAGTGGAGATGATCTAATTCGGTACGAAAAATTAGGGTAATTTGACGTTATCCCAATGTATATAATTTTGAGGAATATTTTAAAAAGATTTCCATTCAAGAGTTACAAGTTAGTACCCAGATCATTGTAATGCTGCCTACTTTCTCCACATCTCTTTAAGTGATGTTTCAAAAGAGTTTTAAGATGGTAGGGTATAGGAATTGAAGTGAAATAGCTCCAGATTTTCGGTAGATGATTATAAAACTTGAAAACCAATCGAAGTCATGGAAGTTTTGGAAGAGCTCTCTTACATATTTATAAATTATTTTTTTTTAATTCTTATTTTTCAAAATCCTTTATAAACATTTTGAAATACTTAGCTGGAAATGAAAATGATTAAAGTCATCAGGCAGCTCATTAAAAAAATATCTATAGCCATATCATGGGATATTTAATCATTTTCTCTTACTGTATTTACGAATGGACAGGTTTATCTGTTTTAGGAAATTTTTCATGGACTATTGAACAATTTTTACCCTCAACACGATCAGGATGAGCTTTAATAAAAATGCTGTGACCATATCATATATCAAACATCTACCTTTCTCGGTCACTTCACACTCCCAAAAAATAGCTGCAAAAAAGGGTGAATCTCACTTGAATATCACCACATCCTGCACTACATCTTTCACTCTCTTCATAATCTCTTGATTAATCTAATTTGAGAAATCGTATTATGGGAACTACTTAAAAAATTATGTTTTCAACTAAAATGTACGTTGAAACTCATAAATATATCTAAAAAACGAAACGAAACCAATGCACAACACGAATACAGGGAAATCCCATGGCGAAATAAGGGGAAATCGGCCAAACGCAAAGCTGGGAAATTTACGCTGCAAGCAGGCAAATTTGGATTGGATGTGGAATGTAGGATGCTTTGTGTGGGAATTTTACGCTCAAAATGTCTCTTTGATTTGTCCATCAAATGCCAGAGGGGCAGCGAGGCGGGATGTGCGTGGGTGATGGGGGGATGGGTGGATGGGTGGATGGGGAAGTAGCATTATTGCGGACGGATATGAAAACTTAGGGAATGACAGGCAGGAAATTGCTGAACTGTTTTATGGTATTTGAAAATAACTAATGATAAATGAGGGAATGGGAAAACAGGGGGGGGGGGGGGGAGCACAGCTGTCGGTCCTGTATCGCCAAGATTGAATATTAAATTTTCAGGAAAAACTTTTGAAAGTCTGGAATCATAAATTCTTCTTAGATTTGGCATCTTTCGATCTATCGTTGGTAAAATCTATGATTTCCCTCTCGTCAGTTTTCCTTAAATCTTGAATTTTCCATCTTTCTATCTATTGGTTCAAAGCGCACGTTGAATACTTTTCTGTCCATTGTCCTATTAGGGGATAACAAAAACTAAGATAATTATTCCCCCCATTCCCATTCCTCAAAATGTGGCCAGTTGTGGTCTCGATTTACGATTGGACCAATTAATGAGCGTGTTAATTGGCCCTCATTGGGACAGATAGACCATAACCCAAGGATGTCAACCGCATATCATATTGTGGGCATCAAAAACATAGCCGGGCGGCAGCGACAGCGACACGCCCACCGCTTGCATCCTGATTCTGTGGCACGAACCATGTGAAATTTAAGCGAGTGATCAACAGATGCAGCGCGACCAGGAGGCACAACAGAAC